AGTCACAGTAATGAAGTCTCTATTGTTAGTATTTAAGAACTAAGTTTTCCTATTACATATGAAAAAGATTCGCAATTTCAAGTACTCAAGCTTTATTTTAGTTGTGTTTGTTAAGGAAACCAGAAGTGCTTTGCATAACTTTTATAAATTTTTAAGATTTAAACTTATATATGAATTCCATCCAATTTTCTCTGATCATAGCACAGAGTTTCACCTTTTTGATACAGCAGATGAAAATCAACATCTAATTGTGCCTCATCTAAAACTTATGTAACGACACCAAAAAAATCCACCCCACTGGAATTCCTGTTTGAATTGCTGAAGATAACATGTTAAAGTAAAGGAATTGACACTGAAAAAAGAATTGAAAAGGTAAATCTGTTGATATGAATGTAAACAACTTAACTGGAACTAGTTTTAAAAACCACATTTTAGCCATTTCAAATCTTAAGGTAGACATGATCTAATCATACTGAACTGTGTCCATCCTGCACTTGTCCTCACATCTAAAAAACCTGTTTGCTACAGTACAATTTCACTGTGATTAGAAAGGTGGAAAATACAGTCTACAGAAGTGTCTCGAAGAACTTTATTCACTGTCATGCAGGCTCGCTTTGGGCAGGATTAGACAGCCTCGTAAGCATGCCAGCAGATAGCTGAACCTTGCAATTCTGTGACAAATATCATTGATGGGTATGCACTAGTGTTAGCTCAACAGTGAAAGGGACATTTTGTCACGCAGGACAGTCAGAAGATGTTTAAAAGGCTTCGATGGTTTTTATAAGGAGTTTCTAAATATGAGGATGACTACAGAAGAAAGCATGAAGGTGTGTTATCAATGCTACTTAGTAAAATGATATTCTGGTCCGGTGAAGGTGAGAGTCCACATGTTGACGGTGAACATGAGCTGATAGGTATGACAGGGATAAAATGTGAAAGGGATTTTTCTTCCCTTCTGAAAGGGAAGAGAAGCAGCATGTAACTAATGCAAAAGAGAAGTGGGAGGAAGGCAAAGGGATACACAACATAATCCAGAACAATCCTTGCTGAAGGCTTCTGAGGGTGTAAGGGTGGGAAAAGATTGCACATATGGAGTTCAGAGCAAAGAATACTACAGTATCCTAATCTAGACAGGAGAGGAAGGAAGCCTGGTTTTCTAGCCACATGGATGGACAGAAGAGACATATATGTTCGAGATAGCCAAGCTATATTTTAATGAACACCAGGGATGCGTGAGGTGAAAATACCTTCTTCCCAGCAACAACACTGGGAAGGGAGTACTGATATCAGTTCCTTGGCAGTTTTGAGAAGATTTCTTGCCAGCCTGTGGGCCAGACCTGACTAGAGATGTCCAGTGAGGAACTGGGAAATTAACAGGCAAGCTAATCAGCCAGTGCAGGAAGCCACGGTAGCCTCCCTGTAAACCCAAAAGTGAGTGATGCCAGGAGATCAGTTACCAATCCACAGGTGGAGTCAAGGTATTTGTTAAGATTGGATAACAGAATGGGGCTGGGGCTGGGGTGGTGGGGCGCGTCTGAAGCCTAGCTAGTCCTCTGTGGGCAGTTCTGCCTGTGCAGGTAAATGTCCTCATGTTGATTATACCACAACTGATAACCATAAACATGAGACTAATCAGTTATAATGTAGAAGAGCTGATAATACTATCATTATATCATTCTTTATATAATGACTTATGCAGTACATAATGGACACTTCCAAACTACTAAGATAACTTTTCAAGAGAGGATTTTATCTTCATAGGTGATGTCTTAAAAATGCAAAAGATATTCTTGGTTGTTATGCTTACAAAAACATTTATTTTGAACCAAGTTTGCAGGTATTTGTTAATGGAGATCTCAGACTGAACAAATTTCTTGATTATGTTGCTATTGCTCTGTGAAATGTCAAATCTAAGCAGAACAATTTCCTTGCCAAAAAACATTTACTGCGTAAAACGTTAACTGAAAAGTCTGAGAAGGAGGAAAAAAGCAAACCCCAATTTTCTGCTATTCAATTTAAAGGTAGACAGTCTTTTGATTTGTTCCCTTTTAGCTAAATCATTGTTTTTCTTCACTATTTCACGTACAAAGCAAACTGCATACTAAACCCACACACTTTATACAATTCAGAAGTTGGAAAGAAGTAGAGACATTATTGCTATTGATTTCAATAACATGAAATCAGCAGGTTGCTTTCCTTTCATTTTGGCAAGATAATAATTCTTATAAATGCTATTTTAATACAGAACTCTGTCTGTACACACTTTATGTTACAGTTATCTCACCATACGTTACATAAAATGCTAGGGTAAAGTAAGTTTTAGAGAAAGGAGTCTTTATTATGCCTCATTTTTTTTTCAAATATGAATAAAGGTGAAAATTGTAAGAAATGAAGCTGCATCCACATACAATTCTACATCTCACTCCAAAAATTTATTTTGAAATTGTTCTGTCTTCTCTTTTTGATGGTCTTGCTAATGGTATGTGATAAGCTAAATCAAATGTATATATAAACACCTCACAGGAATGGAATAGGAGAATTCTTTGAACTGTTTGCAGAAATAAATATTTACCTAACAAGCAAAATAAAATGTTCACTTTTCTATAAAAAACAAGTCTAGTTACTCTTGAAACAAACTATATGGAGAGTGTAATAAATCATGAATGCTTAGGTGAAAGTTGTTCAAAAGAAAAATTCAAAAGACATGGTTTATTAATGGAGAAACTATTCCAGCCCATGGCTGGTATACCTTTTTTGACAGAGAAGAGAGATAAATTTAAGTCTGTTTGAGTAAATGTCTCAAATAGTAGCATTATATGACTCAGAATAGAAAATTACTGGAGAAAATGTACATAGCCTACCTTTCCTCTCCACTGCTTAAGTATCAAAATGAACACAGATTGTGTTATCTACGGAAAAATATAACTAGTTTTTTAACGTGTCATCCATCTTCTTTCATTCTACAGCTAAATAGGCATATCCTCAACATACAGCAAAAATGCAGAGCACAAAATTAGGAATATACTATCTGCCTATATTTGATACAGCGTTTAGAATGATTACAGGAACATCAAGGCCCTGCCACAAGCGAGTAGCACTTTAAGACTACATTTAAAAGGAGCTTCTATTAAAGGCATTTCGACCAAGCACCATTCTGAACTGGAAGAAATGGTATCATTTTCAGGTCAAATTTTCAAAGATATTTAGCCACAACGCACACATGCCCATGCACAGGAAGCTGGCTTTCTAGACAACGTTTCAGAAGTCTTCTGGGGAAAATGATCCGCGACTGAGGACAGGGAGCTGATTATGTTTGCCGTACGTGCTTTGCCGCCTCCCGCTCACAAAAGGAGCTGCTGTGCCTGCAATCAATCCAGCACCCGCCTTCCTACAGAGCACGGTGGTCGTCTCTGCTCCATGGCCTGCTGCGTGCCTGCACAGATGTGGCCTTGCTCCTGCACAGGATCCCTGAATGCATGGGTGCAAAGGCATGGCTGAGAGCCCCTCAGAAAAAGCAGCTACCAAAGACTCAAGTCTGCAACTGGGATAGCAAAATCTGCAGGCTGGGATTGCTGCTGTGCTGGGTGGTCTAGGGATTGTGTGCATTTGTGGGTTTTGGTCTGAATTGCTTTCAAGAGCAAGTCTGGGCTTGTATGGTGGTATTGCTCTTAGGAAAACATCTCCCCAGGAGACGAAATCATACTGGAAACCTGCAAGACTCAGACACAAAGTCCTACTGGGTCTTTTGCAAAGGGACAAGCCTGAATCTAGGCTGAGCCTTGGGGGTTTGCAGGGCGCAGGGGCTGGCTGCTGAGGCAAACCACACTTTCACCAAATCTCTTAAAGGGTTTGCTCTGCCAAGGCCTCACCTCTCCAGACATTGAGGGGTGCACCCAAGTCTTGCAGGACGGTTTGCTCCAAGGGAAAGGCTTCTGCAAGGCTGCTGTGAAACATACTCTGTTGCCTATTAGAATTGTTTCAGAGCAGTGGGCAGATGTTACCTGGTTCTCTTGAAACTAATTAGTAAAACACTTCACAACTACTTGGTGGTTTATTTTATGGTATTCTCTTTAATGTAGAAAAAGCTATTGGCATCTCAGGATTTTAAAATAGAATTAGCTATTGCATATGTGAGAAAGATCGATCATCTCATTGCAAAGTGGAGAGTTTTCTCCTGGAAATGGGCTACTGTGTAAACCATGGTTTTGTAGCTACCAGCAGTAACAAATAACAAGTGCTTTCTAAGTACTGCTGAAACTGGAGCATTCCTGTATTTCTAATTGTAAGCCTCTCTTTGTTCCCAGAGAATAAGGAATTCTGAGGAAAGGAAACAGGTCTTTTGAATGACATATGCTTTCTGCCTTCATCTTAGTACCTTGTTTTGAGAAACAGAATGATGAACAGTCTTTTTTTTTTCTGCTGAGGCAGTCACTCTCCTCCTGATCAAGAGAAGCATACTGCAAATTGGAAACAAAATGGAACTGAAATCTTGTGCATATTAAAAGCAAATGCATGAGAAGTATGAAACTAAGTGTGGATGTCAAAGTGCTGAAAAGGAAAACTATCACTACAGGCAGTAGTGTAAAGGACACCGCGTTTCTTGCCTATGCACACCCCCGCCTGTCCAAAACTCCCCATCTCTGCACACACCAGCACAGGGAAATGTACTAAAACGTGCGGCACGTTCCACTCTGCTCCTGGAGACACAGTCCCTGCTCTGTCTCTTCCTCCAGCCCCCATGGCCGAGGCCTGGCTCCAGCCCACGCCAGGGGGAGGTGGGCAGGTACAGCCATGCCTGGCTGCGGGCGGGGGAGCCTGCGGGGCCAGGGCAGCTCCTGTGCTGCAGGCTCCCCAGGGCAGGGATTCCCCACCCGCAGCGTGGGCTCTCCTGCCCCGCCTGCCAGGTTGCTACATGCTGGGGCAGCAGTGGCCATGCCCTATATAAGAGCCCTGCGGAGCCTGCCTGGGGGTGCCTGGTGCTTGGCCAGCAGTGCTGTGCCATGGAGGCCGAGGAGGCTGCAGCAGTGGCGGCGAAGGCAGCGCTGCGGACCCCGAAGTGCTCCCGCTGGGCCGGTGAAGGGCCACGCCGGCCACTGCCGCTGGAAGCTCTGCCTGTGCGACAAGTGCTCCCTCATCACCGAGCGCCAGAAGATCATGGCGGCCCAGAAGGCCCTGCGGCAGCAGATGCCAGACCCCCCGACCGGGGTGGCCTCGGGCCCCATTCCCCCAGGCGAAGGCCCCGGGGTGGCCGCCGGGGTGGCCAGTGCCCCCGAGCAGAGTGGCCATGAAGAGATGAAGGGTACCCAGCCCGGCAGCAGCAGCAAAGGCATGGCATGCAGGGGGCCGCCGCTGCCTCCCAGCGGCCCTCCCTTCTGGGACTACGGTAAGGACCTGTCCCCAGAGCCTCTTCCCCTCTCCTGCCATCTTTCTTTCCATGTTCATCTCCCTCTTCGCCCCATCAAACACTGCCACTTGTGCAGTTTGCACCC